AAAGGATAGATTTCGCTCCTTGTAACAAATGAATTATTGCAAATAAGCTTCTTTCAACCAATTTGGAACAATTTTAAGACGGATTAACTCTCCGCTTGGGCGTTAATAGTGCGAAATATATTGCGCGTTAATAGTGCGAAATATATTGCGCGTTAATTGTCCCAAATTGGCCAAAATTGCAATCTTTAAACCCCCATAACTTTACGAAAAACGATCACAGGTGAAATATATTTTTTTTCAAATTTGAGCTCAGGACAACAATAGCTTTCGAATGATCTTAAAAAATTTCGTCAAAAATGGCTAGTTAAAAAATCGAAATTTGTCTGAAGAAAAAAAACCTATCCCGAGCACAAATATTCCGTTACTTTCGTATCGAAAGTCGGAACAATCAGTAAATTTTATATTTCCTATGAAATCATTTCTCTTTGTTAGAAGTAGACACAGGCACCAAAGTTACTGCTAAAAGTGTTGAGCACTGAAATTGAGATGATCTTAACATTTCAAAATTAAAAGCGATTCAATTGTTTGATAGTGTTTCACTAAATCGCAATGGTATTTGCAAAAAATGTACTTCACCCATAACCATTTATTAAGTAGTCCAAATACCCAAATACGATGACTCAGAGTGATTTCTATGAGGTATTTCCTATGCGCAAACGCGTTAAAAGCGCGAAATTTATCGCGTTAATTGTATTAAATTGGCCTTAATGACAATTTTCAATTTCCCAAAACTTTCCGAAGAAAGATCACAGGCAAAATATTTTTTTATAATTAAGCTCAGGACATCAAATTCCGAATGCTATAAGAAATTCCGTGAAAAATGGCTAGTTAAAAAGTAGAAACTTGTCTTAAGAAAAAAAAACCCACCCGAGCAGAAATATTTCGTTACTTTCGTTTCAAAATTTGGAACAATAAATCAGTATTTTTTAACTTTAAGCAAGAAATAGCTTGAAAATTGCCCGACAAAAAAAAATGAATGAGAAAAATTAGAGCAGAGCGAGCTCTCCTTGCTGACAGTTCCGTTGTGTCGTTAAGTAAACGCATGGCATGATAATTGCCCGGGTTGAGGACCAGTCTCATGTCCAGACTTTGAGGATCGCGTCGCTTTTGGATTCAGACTCAAATTGCATAGTCGCGCCGAGAGATTGAGTCTGGAAACTCTGGAATTGAGTCGTAACGTGGGTCGCGAAAGTCTGGACATACCGAAATTTGGTCGCAATATTCTGGACATGGGCCGCAAAAATCTGGACATACCAGAATTCGGTCGCGACAGTCTGGACTTGGGTTGGAAGTTTGGACCAATGTCCAGGCTTTCGCGACCAAATTTTGGTATACCCAGACTTTCGCGACCCATACACGACTCACGTCCAAATTTTCCAGACCTCATGTCCAGACTTTCCAGACTCAAACTCTCGGCGCGACTATGCAATTTGGGTCTAAATCCGGATGCGGTGCCACTGTTGGCGTGACTCATGTCCAGACTTTCCAGACTTTATAAACAGACTTTCCAGACACAAACTCTATGCTAAACTATGCAATTTGGGTCTGGATCCGGATGCGGTGCGACCCATGCGCGACCATGGTGGTTACAGCGCGACTTTCGCGACTAAGTCTAAGACGGCGCGACTTTTCAGTCCAAGGCGGAGACGGCGAGACTTTCCAGACCAAGGCGGAGACAGCGCGATTTTCCGGTCAAAGGTGGAGACGGCTCAACTTTCCAGATCAAGGCAGACACGGTGTTTACACTCTGATGGCTAAAGTTGCGCCACATCCACCACGGTGGCGAAGAATTAGTTCTTGGTGGCGCCGTCTCCGCCTTGGTCTGTGAAGTCATGCCGTCTCCACCCTGGTTTTGAAAGTCGCGCCGCATCTACCTCGGTTGCGAGGAATGAATTCTTCTCGCGCCATCTCCGCCTCGGTCTGAAAAGTCGCGACGTCTCCGCCTTGGTCTGGAAAGTCGCGCCGTCTCCGCCTTGGTCTGGAAAGTAGCGCAGTCTCAATCTTTGTCGCAAGTAAATGATTCTTGGTCGCGCCGTCTCCGCCTTAGTCTGGCAAGACGCGCCGTCTCCGCCGTGGTCTGGAAAATCGCGCTGTATCCGCCTTGGTCTGCGCCGTCTGCGATCTGATTGCTAAAGTCGCACCGCATCCATCACGGTCGCGAAGAATTGTTTTTTGGTCGCGCCGTCTCCACCTTGGTCTGAAAAGTCGCGCTGTCTCCGCCTTGGTCTGTAAAGTCATGCCGTCTCCACCCTGGTCTTGAAAGTCGCCCCGTATCTACCTCGGTTGCGAGGAATGTATTCTTGGTCGTGTCATCTCTGCCTCCGTTTGAAAAGTCGCGACGTCTCCGCCGTGGTCTGGAAAATTGCGCCGTCTTTGCCCTGGTCGCGAGGAATTGATTATTGGTCGCGTCGTCTCCGCCTCGGTCTGAAAAGTTGTGCTATCTCCGCCTTGGTCTGGATAGTCGCGCCGTCTCAACTCTGAACGCGAAAGTCGCGTCACTTCCACTACGGTCGCGAAGAATTGATTTTTTGTAGCGCCGTCTTCGCCTCGGTCTAGAAAGTCACGTCGTCTCCCATTCGGTCCCAAAAGTCTTGAAATTGCAATTTTTGGTCACGCTGGTCAGGCCGGTCGCGCCGTTGATTTTTGAGTAGCGCCGTTTCCTGAGTCGCGTCGTATCCACCTCGGATGCGAAAACCCCGAAAGAGTTTTTCTTTAGTCGCGCCGTAAAGAGTTTTTCTTTAGTCGCGCCGTCTCCGCCTAAATTTTGTTTAGACATAACTTACTTCAAACCATTTAAAGTGCAATCAAAACTTTCAGCGTTTTTCTTTCACAAAAAGTTTTATCTATTTCAATCTGTAATGAGCATATTATAGTATATTCGTTTTGCAGTTTTTGCCAAACTACTTTGAGTTCCCGGGTTGAGAAAAAATGGTTGTCATACATTTTTCATATATGAAAAAAATGCTTATTATACTCTTTCAAACAATTTCAAAGAGCAAAAGTATATGTATGAAAACATCAAAATAAGCATTTTTCCATACTATGAAATTTTATGATAAGCATTTTTCCATAAATGAAAATTCAAAAAATTTTTGTTTCGAAATTTCGTGTTTCAACCGAAACACTAGCCAAGGATTTTTTGTCATGAGAAAACCCAGAGTGTAACTGGCAGTTACCACGCAGATAAACTGCATTTGGTGGTTTTAGCCATAAAAGTTAATTTTAACATTTTCACATGGAAATATGTACCAAAAAAGTAACTTTTTTTACAAATTTATTTTTATCGTTTCAAATGAAACAAAAGATAATAATCGTGTTTACAAAAAAAACCCGAAGATAATAATCGTGTTTAGTATAATTTTTGGGTCTTTTGGGTGAGAAACTCATCCTGGACTACGTTATAAATACAAAAAGGTCAAATTTTGCATGCAAATTTTTTTCCGTAAAATTTATATTTTAGCACAAATGCAAATTTGCAGCCAAAAAAGGTATTAAAAGATTTTACCTCAAACTTTTGTTTTTGTTTATGAAAAAAACGCATATCATACAATTTTCATATAAGAAAACTTAATGAAAATCAGTTTTCTGACCGAAATTAAAATTATATTTTTGATTGTCAATATGCCCTCTATCATAGATATACTTATTTAAATCTATTTAAAGTTACCCAGACAAGTTTTTTGGTGATTTTTGAAAATTTTATTTTTTCTATGACAAAATGATTATTTTATAATTTTCATACATGAAAATTGTATGATACGCTTTTTTTCTATAGACTTCATATATGAAACTGTATGATAAGCATTTTTCTTCTATGGACGTCAACCCGGGCTACCTGAAAACTATCAGTGCACTAAACACGTTTCACAGTTATGTGGATTGAAACATGCTATATTGACCAAGTTTGAAAAAATAATGTGCAAAATCATTAGTAAAATTTGCGCGTCAAAAATAAATGAGACAATTTCCTTGTTGTTTGAATCATCTTACTAAACGCAAAAGAAATCACTTTGTACCTAACTTATAAAACGCATGGAGTACAAGATTTCAAAAACAACAACTTTTACTTTTTTGAATCTTATTTTTGGATTTTTCTGCAATAATTGTTTTTTTTATTTTTTAGAATTGTTGCAAAGGGGTGAAACATTATGCAATCAAAAAATTGGAGTTATACGATTAACAAGTTGGTTGGAACTTTGCACTTGAGTTTATTTAAGTTTTTTACTTAAGCGAAAATAGCTGGGAAAATTAAACGTCAGATGGCGTCAGTTGATACATTAGGTAAAGCCGTATGTATTAAAGAGATTTGGATTTAGTTTTTAGCTCCAGTCCCACAATCACGAAACTTTTGGTTTCGTCAAATTTATTTTTTATAAAAAATGCATCAAGATCTTTTTTCGCTACTAGCAGCATTGAGCTATTCTTGATGTTTCTACCACTTCTGGAGTTGAGTCGGAAATCTGGAGTTTGCTCTGTTTCTTTCTCCAGCCGAATTTGACTACCTTGAAGAAAGCTCGCGAGGAGTCAAATGTGGTATCATAATATAACCCTTTCAGTCATGATTTGATTTTAAAAAGCTGAAAAAGATGTCTCAAAATTAAGAAAAAAAACTAACAGCTGCTATGCTATCCAAATTAATATACTCATTACCACTCTTTCGTGAATTTTTTCATCCTATTCACTCTTCCTTTAAAAAAAAAAAATAAGCGAGAAACTTAGACTACAAAACAGAAAAAATAATGATTTAATTTTTTTAGTTTCATACTTTGTCTTTTTAAAAATAGACTTTATAAAAGTTGTAATTACTATGTTCTTATAATTTGTTTTCAAGGTTCAGAAGGTGGTCTGAATATTCTAAGCTACTAGCACGGTTTTCGATTTAATTTGTTACGTTTCAAAAATGTTTTGTACAATTTATATTTACACCATTGTTTTGATAGAAACATATTTCAACATAACTTAATATACAGATCTTTTTTGAAAATAAATGCTTTACTAATTTCAGTTAAGCTTAATCTTTGTCACAGAAAACTTAGAGCATTTTCGATGATTGTTTTATTCGCCATTGAACTTGGAATATTTTGGATTGCAGTTTTGGTTGGAATCTGGAAATTAGCCAAGAGTAGTCGTTCAGTCGACAGCGCGTCCGAGCTGACGAGTCTTTCCAGCGCAGAGAGTTCCTCAATGTATGAATTCATAGGATTAGGCCCTGAGGGAATTAGGCTAAATGGGTTTGCGGCGCCCACGAATGCCAAATTGTTCAGCTGTCTGCGGATGTTGGACTCTACATGTGCCTTTTCGATCCTCTTATCCTTGGCTCTTCGATTTTGATACCAGATCTTGATTTGGTTCTCCGACAGACCCAAAGTGTCGGCAAGTTCAAATCTGCGACTTCTGAAATGGATAATAAATTGGTACTACCTGTTATTTTTATTTCGTAAACTCAAATGTTTCTTCAATTGCCAAAAGTAGAAAGTACTTTCTTTTAAAGCAACTTTCTTCGAAGTCCGAAACTGGAAACTTTGAAAAAAATCACAACTTTCCATTTTTAAAAAAATTGGGTTTGATAAACATAATTAGCTTCTTTTAGGCTCTTTAATACAAAATTTTTAAGCATAATGACCTTGCCCACGTGACCTTCAAAATTGTTGAGTGATCTTTTGAAATAAATTTGTGTAAGAGTATTGTAAATACCTGGTAATGTATTCATTCATTTGGAACTCCAGTTCTAATTTGATGGTCTGTTCGGCCGAGAAGGAAGTGCGTTGTCTTCTCCCATTCAACTGGTCCCCCCGCTTTGACCCTGCACCCCCTCCTCCACCTGGGCCACTATGTTTACGCTGCTGCAGACTCACTACAACATGCGTCACAATACAAAAACAATCTGATTGAAACTTTTAACTTAAAAAAAGTACAATTTGATCGAAACTTTTTACTAAACAGAATTATTTTTTGTGGATTTCGTTTGATTTGAAATCTATTCCTTAACTATTCGTTTATGGTCAATTACTATTTTATCTCTCCTACTCTTTTTGAAAAAAAATGAAATGAAATTTGCAACTTTTATTCATTGTTTTTTTTTTCAATTTAAGACCTTTGCCAGCCTCGCTATAAAATCATGATATCTTTCGTCAAGTTGGTAGTTTCTAAAAAACTTACGAAGAAAATTCGAATGCCGTTCTCTTGAAAATTCAGCGCCATCTGCTTGGTTTGTATTTGTCTGCGACCAGGCATATTTCGCCGACTCATTGTCGACTCCGGAAGCCGCGGAGCTTCGCGATTGCACTGAATCCATCCCGATCAGCTCTCGATTGTCCAAATTTAGTGAACCAAAAGGAGCCACTGCACTGACTGCGTCGATTAGTGCACTGATATTTGACCCCGCTAGCGCAGCCATGTCAAAAGATGGCGATATGTTCTGATTGTCGGCATTATGTTGTACACCCAATATGTCGGCTTGGTTGTATATCGGACTTATTTCCGAATGTTGATTGCGTTCAGATTGTAAACGGATTATTTTATTTTCAAAACTTCTATTCATTTTTTCTTTTGTTGACAAAATATCGTCGATTGAAAGAAATGATTTCTTGGGATTTCTGTCATTTTGTTCCATTTTATTTACTTAATTTCAGAGAATTTTACAAGACAGCTTTTTCTGGACAAAATTAAAAAGAAAAGTGAAAAACAAATAAAATTGGGATTCGGAGATTAGGAAATTGATCGTTATATTGCAAATTATTAAGCGCAGAGGAAGATTTGAAAGATGTTTTTTGATGGAATAAATCGATTGAAGAAAGAAAGAAAGGTGAAAAACAAACAAAAGTCAGTGATTAACTAGGTGATTAATGTGTTTATGATGACTGTTATTGCCAATGTATTTGGGGATTAAAAATATCGATTCAGAAGATCTTATTTATGATCTAATCGGACTGCAAGCGCGTTGAAATACAAGAGACTTCTTTTTGTTCCCAGGTGAAATCAGTGATTGATCGAGTCTATAAAAAACGTGCGCCGTAAAGTGATGCTTAATTCATTCCAGCTAATATCCCCCTTAAAATAATTAAAGCGGGAGGGAGGGGAGGGGAAGGGGAGAGAATAAAGACAATTGAAAGAGGACTAAATTGCAAATTGAAATTAAATCAATTCTCTTTTGTAGACCAAATTGATATTTACTTAACGACTGTTATTCAAATAATCTTTTTTGTTTTTGTCGTGTTTACATTTGCGGAATCTATGAAAAGTCATTTCTGTTCTTAGCTCTTAAAAAACGACTGCTGATCCTAAAAAAAATAATATTTTCTCAGATGTTAGGGGGGTTTATTTTTTCAATTAGGAAGTGGGAGAGGGGGGGGGTGGCTGGGTGGCGAAAGGTGACAAAGTCATATTATGGAGCACGTGAATGTAGAATGATGATAATGATGTTTTTATGAGGTTGATTTTGCCTCTCAGCTTGTCAGTGTTGTTGTTTTGTTTGTAGTCTTGGTATAAATAAATAGAATAAACAGACAATAAAATAACAATTGTACTGGCGGGATAAGATACATTAGAGAAAACAAGGTCAATAAAATGTGGCTTTTATGAACATGAATGAAATATATGAGTTACAAATTAACTTTTTATTGCCTTCATCATTAATTGTAATTGCCGATTCACCAGGTGTCTTTAGCACACAATTGATTGACTTTATGATAGCACAATCTCACTTCGTTTTTTAATCATCCGAACCATGTTTTCCCGATTTTTATCAGAAATTCAAAAAATGAGGGAAGCGACTAATATTCTGCAAATCAAGATAAACAGTCAAACTTATACGGTTTGAATGAAACCCCCCCCCCCTTCTTTGACCCTCTAAACCACTTAACGTGCCCTGTATTTGGTTCCGAAGTTTGAACTAAGGTTACTTCTAAAGGCTACTGAGTTACTTGCTGAGGTTGCTTGCTGAGCTATTGCCGTAACCGAATCTAATTGATTTTATTTTGAAAAACTTGATTTTTGTCAATTGTTTTGCATTATATCTATATAATGTCAATAATCATTTCGATTACCTACCAGCGCAGAGTTATAAATCGAGTACTCTCAAATTTTCATATTCAGAAATTTTTTTTAAACATAAATAGCTTTTTTCAAAAAGAAAATGTGATTTTTTCGCAGTCTGTAGATCTAGAATGATCTGGTTCTGCATTGTAAAAATACTCCCAAAACTCAATGCAGTCTCAGAAAAACAATTGATTAGCTCTGCAAAAGCGCAACTATTTGAGTAGCTGGTCAGAAAATGTTCCCACAGTTTTTACTCTGGCTCTAATGTAACTTCGTAATATTAGCAGTAGAAGTTTTCAGTGCTTTGGGCAACAACTAAAAACTACCAAGCACCAAGGATAGATTAATAATGCAAAAAAACGCCATAAATATTCTTAAATTTTTGTTCTGAATCACGTTTTTTGCTTGCTTTTATAACATTTTTACTTTTTAAAGTTTAGCCAACCCTGTAGATCTACGTATAGATCGCCCAGAGTAGATTAGAACCATCTAATAGAAGAAAAAAATGGACGCTCAAAAAAGTGCAAATATTTAATATTTAAAAATCTAAGGAAGCATGATGCTAATCTTAGACACAACCAATGTAATAGCATTTTTTTGAAACTAACGTATACTCAAACATTTCAATCAAACTAACCATTTCAAGAATTTACGTTTTTTGAATGAAAATACTTTTTGAATGAAAATATTTCCAAACCGTTAAAACAGAATAGTTGTATAATTTTGCCGACTTAACTTAATTGAAATTGATAATTTGTCAAAGCAAGCTGGCCTCTAAAGTGTGAGCTTTCATATCAAAAAGATTGTAGAATTCGAAACTAAAAAAAATCAATTAAAATTATTCAATCCAACCAAAACGAGGGAAAGATCTTAGAATTTTAGGAAGGCTTGTGGCGGACTTGCAGAAAAAAAACATTACACAAATTGTTTGTCTTTTTTAAAATTCAAATTTTCGAGCTTTTCAAAACCGTATACAGCCCTTGTTTAGCAAAAATTTTTCGCACCGCAAACAATTTTTTGAAAAAATAGCAGGTCAAAAAAGCTGTTCCATTTTTTGAAAAAAAAAGCAGGTCAAAAAAGCAGGTCAATATATCGATTCCTGAGAATGATTGTTATTTTGTCGTGGCTAATCTAAGTTAAAGTGGTAACTTACTTATTCTAACTTAGGGATAGTGATTGTATTCAAGTTTAGCGCCTGTAATTGTCGTTGAAGGTTTTTCTTCAAAGATACTATGTTTGCAAATGAAAATCTAAATTCATTGCTAAAAAAATTCTAAATATAAAAATTTTGTGTTGGCTTTTGCCGTACAACCATGAAACTTATGAGTAATTTCCTTTGTATTCGTATATCGGCTCGTGTCCGCGGTCTTATTTTAAAACCGGGTAGTTCTCGTATTGTTCGGAATAATGCCTCTGATCTATTGAGTCGTAGAGACCTTTCAATTAAATTATTGTCGTGAAACATTTTTGGAAATGTTTTTTATCTAAGTCTAATCTATTTTTGGTTAATTCTAAGCTATTTTGTTCCTTAAAGTCTTATTTGGGACTTATGATCGCACCAGATGAGTTATATTCTAAGGTCAACTCATAGAGGAATTTCAGATAAGGTACACCGTCTGCTCGTCACGCTATCTTATTTTCGGCCGGATAGATTCCTGCAACTTCTTAGTCTAATACCGATCTTAATCTTACTCTTGTATCTCTTAGTCTCACTAGATCTAGAGTATACTGGTTTTGTTACGAGTCGGTCTCTTGACAAAGCAACTAAGTTGTAAGATATTTCAAAATGCTCTGGTCCTGAAATTACAAGTAATTTCAGCATTACAAATAAGCGGGTTGTTAGTTTTAGGGAGTGTGATTGGTTAGTCTTTAATACTTTATAGGGATAAACTATCTAATTTATAACCAATAACTTCCGAACCGTTAAAACAGAATAGTTGTATAATTTTGCCGACTTAATTTAATTTAAATTGATAATTTGTCAAAGCAAGCTGGCCTCTAAAGTGTGAGCTTTCATATCAAAAAGATTGTAGAATTCGAAACTAAAAAATTTCAATATAAATTATTCAAACCAACCAAAACGAGGGAAAGATCTTAGAATTTTAGGAAGGCTTGTGGCGGACTTGCAGAAAAAAAAACATTGAACTAATTGTTTGTCTTTTTTAAAATTCAAATTTTCGAGCTTTTCAAAACCGTATACAGCACTTTTTTAGCAAAAATTTTCCGCACCGCAAACAATTTTTTGAAAAAAAAGCAGGTCAAAAAAGCAGGTCAATTTATCGATTCCTGAGAATGATTGTTATTTTGTCGTGGCTAATCTAAGTTAAAGTGGTAACTTACTTATTCTAACTTAGGGATAGTGATTGTGTTCAAGTTTAGCGCCTGTAATTGTCGTTGAAGATTTTTCTTCAAAGATACTATGTTTGCAAATGAAAATCTAAATTCATTTCTAAAAAAATTCTAATTATAAAAGTTTGTGTTGGCTTTTGCCGTACAACCATGAAACTTATGGGTAATTTCCTTTGTAGTCGTATATCGGCTATTGTCCGCGGTCTTTTTTTAATACCGGGTAGTTCTCGTATTGTTCGGAATAATGCCTCTGATCTATTGATTTGTAGAGACCTTTCAATTAAATTATTGTCGTGAAACATTTTTGGAAATGTTTTTTATCTAAGTCCATTCTATTTTTGGTTAATTATAAGCTATTTTGTTCCCTAAAGTCTTATTTGGGACTTATGGTTGCACCAGATGAGTTATATTCTAAGGTCAACTCATAGAGGAATTTCAGATAAGGTACACCGTCTGCTCGTCACGCTATCTTATTTTTCGGCCGGATAGATTCGTGCAACTTCTTAGTCTAATACCGATCTTAATCTTACTCTTGTATCTCTTAGTCTCACTAGATCTAGAGTATACTGGTTTTGTTACGAGTCGGTCTCTTAACAAAGCAACTAAGTTGTAAGATAATTCAAAATGCTCTGGTCCTGAAATTACAAGTAATTTCAGCATTACAAATAAGTGGGTTGTTAGTTTGAGGGAGTGTGATTGGTTAGTCTTTAATACTTTATAGGGATAAAATATCTAATTTATAACCAATAATTTCCGAACCGTTAAAACAGAATAGTTGTATAATTTTGCCGACTTAATTTAATTGAAATTGATAATTTGTCAATGCAAGCTGGCCTCTAAAGTGTGAGCTTTCATGTCAAAAATATTGTAGAATTCAAAACTAAAAAATTTCAATATAAATTATTCAAACCAACCAAAACGAGGGAAAGATCTTAGAATTTTAGGAAGGCTTGTGGCGGACTTGCAGAAAAAAAAACATAAAACAAATTGTTTGTCTTTTTTAAAATTCAAGTTTCCGAGCTTTTCAAAACCGTATACAGCCCTTGTTTAGCAACAATTTTCCGCACCGCAAACAAATTTTTGAAAAAATAGCAGGTCAAAAAAGCAGGTCAATATATCGATTCCTGAGAATGATTGTTACTTTCTCGTGGCTTATCTAAGTTAAAGTGTTAACTTACTTAATCTTACTTAGGGGTAGTGATTGTGTTCAAGGGCTGGAGAATAGTAAATCAATCCACAAGGTTCAGGTATAGTTAGAACACAAGTAGTTTGTTAGGTACTATTTTAAATTTACTAAAATTAAGTATTATCCTGGGTCAGGTAAGAGGGGGGTGGGGTCA